AAGCTGTCTGTTGAATTTCTAACACAAACATTATGGAATTCCTCTGCACTAGCAGAGAAAGGACAAGACAGCAGGCAGAGAAAAAACCTCAGATGCAGAGTGAAAACAAAATGCATGAGGTGTCCAGTCAGACAGTAATGATGCTTTTTCCCCTTGCACTTACAGGAGCCATCATTAAAACTCTGAGGCTTTGTCTAGTCCCTGCATTGACAGAAGCCATCACAGAAAACGTCACTACTAACCAGGCTTAAGTTGGAAACACATGGTTATTTTTTAATCAACCAGCAAGCTGAATGAAATAAAAAAGGGGTAGAGGAATCCCCCCACCAGGAGATTATATTGTGATAGTGGGAATTTCCACTGTCAGAACACACTGATCAGTGGTGACCAGGGGCAGACTGACAACTCATGGGGCCCCCGGGCAATAGGGGATCATGGGGCCCCTGTGTCCTCACCCACATCCAAAAAAGCCTATGAAAAAAGGTACCAGGGGCATCTGATGGGGCCCCCTACTGACCCAGGGCCCTTGGCCAGTGCCCAAGTTTCCAAATGGTCAGTCTGCCCCTGGTGGTGACAGCCCATTGGCTGCAGCCACTGATCATCAAAAAAGTCCAGCTTGTCTATTTGACAGATGTTAATCTGGAGATCAACTTCTTTCAAATAGGGGTGACAAATATGGATCAAAATTCAGCTGGATCCTGTTGAATCTGCCAAATTTCAATCTGACAATGGTCAGCTTAAGTCAGCTCTCTACACTGACAAATGCCATTGTTAAAAACTCAATTTCCTAACAGGCTTAGTCCAGTCCCCACATTGGCAACATCACCCATCAGTGTAAAAAACAGCCAGACCAGACTCTTGTCTCAGGATACTCAACAAGGAAAGCACTGGAATAAAAGAGCTATGCACACAGGCTTCTTTGGTGTGCTACATCATCAAAGGCCAGGCTGAAAAGAAGCATGAGAACTTCAAATGGCAGTTCAGGCATAACAACAAACTTTAAAAAGTATACCAAGAAACCCCTAAAAAATACAGCCTCCTCCAACCATATTTGTAGCAATATAGCACATACAATCACCTCAATAAGAATAATAATTCCCAACACAGCAAAAGACCCTATACAAACACTCAAAACAAGTGAGTCCTCAGAGATGGGGACAAATGCACTGCCACAGTTCTGGCCTTGATAACTCAGTTAGGAATCCCCAGGTATACTGGCCTGATCTGAAAGCAGAGACGTGTGTTAACTGGAACATCGATGGATCATCACTGCTAGTCACTAGCAGTACCATCATAGAGAGAATACCAGTATATTTAATGGACTGGGAAAATCATTGGCTAACTAGAAAGACTTCCAGGATTAACAATATACAACCTGGATCTACAGTAGCTTTCGACGGTAGAAAATATTCCAATTCAGTTAAAAAAAAAAGCAGAAGAGAAGGAGGCATCCGTACTTCTAATGACACTAAGCAGAACTGAGCAGGTGTGGGGTGGAAGAGGTCCTAGATTGAATTTGGGAATAGTTTCTATGTGCCTAGTGTTAATTTCTCCTGTAGGTAAGTAGCAGCATAACTCTAGGTTTCTTAAATATCATCAAACTGTGGCCCTCAATGGATGATAGATAAGTATGTATAGCCAATAAATCAGATTTCATCATTACAGCCATTTCCATAGCTGAATCCTCAAAGACACACACACATTTTAAGGTTTACCTAGGGATGGCTACAGACACATTTCTAGGGGGGGGGGGGGGGTGCTGTGCTTGTTCAGGGAGTACAAGATGGGTGCTAATGCAGTACATGAACTGTGCCACCTACTGCAGACTTGTGGCCAGCACGTGGGTGTTTGTTCATGGTCATTGGCTTGTAGCGTCACACTTTTCTCCTTTTGTATAGACCAAATAAGACCTGGGGGTGAACTGAAGAGAATGAAACAAGCCCAGCTGGGGCAATAAATGATAACCCACCAGCCTATGTAAGGTTCAGCAACAACCTCAGCATAGTCAAACCCTGATAGAACACAGTAACTTACACCAGACACAACACAGTAATTAACATTTCACTACATATCCCTGGGCAAGGCACAGTAATTAACCCCCAATATTGAATAACAAGTATCCCTCAGCATGTTACAACTATTACCCACAGCAGGGCACAGTAATAAACCCCCAGCACAACACAGTAATAACAGAGCATGGTAATAAACCTCCAGCACAACACTATAATAAACCCCCTAGCACCCCACAGTAATGAAACCCCTAGCATGACACAATACTAAACCCCCAGAAAGACACAATGATAAACCCTGATCACAGCAGATTAATTAACCTCCATCATTGCACAATAATAAACCCACAACATTGCACAATAATAAACCTTCATCACTGAACAATAATAGCCTCCCAACATTATAGCCATCAGTGTGCCTCCTTCATTGTGCAACATACAACATAGCATATAGTGTGAAGAGGTCAGCACTATATTGTGTATAGAGTGTGGTGATCAGGATTATGTACAACATTAGCGTCTCAGTGTACACTCTTACATTGGTGGTCAATACTAAGTGTACCCCCTTACAAATGACAGTCAGTGTGTATCTGCCTATTGGTGGTCAGTATGCCCCTGTATACTGGTAGTCAGTGACGCTGCATTCTGATGGTCAATGCCCCTGCATACCGGTAGTAAGTGCCCCTGCATAGTGGTGGTCCATTCGCTTTTATACTGGTGGTTATTTCTCCTGTACACTGGTGGTCAGTCCCCCTGTATACTAGTGGTCAGCCTCCTTGTATACTGGTGGACAGTCCCCTTGTATACTGGTGGTCAGTCCCCCTGTATACTGGTGGTCAGTCCCCCTGTATACTGGTGAGCAGTTCTCTTGTATATTGGTGGTCATATCTCCTGTATACTAGTGGTACATTCTCCTGTATACTTGAAGTTAGTACCCTGTATGCTGCTGGCCAGTCCACTGTTTACTGGTGGGCAGCTGTCCTGTATACTGGTGGTCAATCCCCTGTATACCAGTGGTCAATTCCCCTGCATAATGATGGTTCATGCCCTTAAGTGTAGCTCAACCCAACTCAATAAATATCAATAGACCAGTGTGGATGCATCTGTGCAGACAGAACTAGAAGAAGCCTATCAGGACCTGTGTCTCTAAACTGCCCAATCCTTGTACTTTGCTTTTCAAAGTTGCATCAATACAGGATAGATTGATACAGTTTTGCAAAGTAATGTGCCTGGTCCAGGCAGGTGCATTTATGGGGGTGCTGGAGGAACTTTTGGGGATGCTTAAGCAACACTCCTGGGTCTACCCCTTTGATCTATGTCCAGTCAGCACTGATACACAGAGGTTGTTCAAAATAACAAAGCAAAACTCCAGCTAAACATAACAAGATAACAATGAATACTTCATTAAAGTATAAAATAAAAAAGTCAGCTTTTGTTGCAATATTTAGTTTCAGTCTGGATCTCTCCATCTTCTTTTCTGCCACAAGAAGCTTTCAGTCTGATGGCAAGCATTATTCAACCCACTTCTTCTGAGCCCAGCTCTTTCTGGACCCATTCCAGCCTGTGACTTGACAGTGCAAGAAGAAACAGCAAAGCGGTGAGGTTATTTCTATCAGCATGCCCCCAGTCAGCTTATAAACTGATTGGTTTCCTTTGATGCTTCTTCCTCGTACACACCAGTCCTGCTGTACAGGGACTGCAAGAAGCTGGTTAAATCCAGGTACCTACACTGCTTGCATTTAAAAATCACATTAATCACATATTATTGAATACGGAGGTGCATTAGGTTGTGCCTCTTCTCCCTCAGCTGTGCTATTTCAAGTGTCCTAATATGACTACAATGATCATAATTAAATCCATAGTGCAGACAGATTCCCAGTTATTTTATGTTATACTGCTGGGAAATGATCTTGAGCCTCTGTAAGTAAACGGGACAGCTCTGATTTAAAATAGGCACAGCATAAAGCAGGATTAAACGCATGACAACTATGTGATGAAAGCAAAACTTAACACAAATATAATGAAAAGCCCATCAGCTCTATTTACTGTAATCAACCCAAATGGTGGCAATTTCAGTACCATACAGGTAATATATTTGGTGCACTTAGAAGCAAAGTGATTTATGACTGAGACAAAACATTTTATTATCTGGTGTGAAGGAGCGCAAGCCATAATTCATTCTGGAAAGGCTCACAGAACATATAAATTCTGCTTTACAAATAATGAAAAAGAAAGGGTAGATTATGCAATTCATGAAGAGAGCACATTACAAAATATTCAACCTTTGTAACCATGTATTGATTTTTAGATACTGTCATCAGATACTCTTGAATAAGTTTACAGTGTGAAGAAATGCTTGGAGGGTATTTTCTCATTATATGACAATGGATAGTCCAGAATGAGCTGTGAATGATAGGTATAAAGATGATTCCTGTGTATTTAAAATATAGAATTATTTTGCTGAACAGTTGTAAAGATAAATACAACAGCAAGAAAAAAAAAATACCAACGTGTCCTATATTTAAAAAAAATCACTTATGGAACATTTTCAACAGAGGAGAAGAAAATAAGATCTACTTTAGATCTTGGAGTCACTGGAAGGCCAATTACTGCTGTGTGATATGTGAGTGTGTCATAGTGCTGAACTGATAATAGCAAACACTAGTTCCAATGGATATACTGTAAAGTGTTTTTTTCCTTCAAAGATGCAGATCCTTGATGAATTATAGTGTGGATGGACACTAATCTGGTCTAGGCTGCTACCTCTGTGATAGTGAAAAGGGAGCACTCACCAGATAATAAATAGTTGGATGTGTACAGAGGTGCACAAGTTCAGCTCACCTAAAAGCCTTTTTGAAATATTTTAACACTTAATACCACACTATAGCTGAAAGAAGGCTACATGTCTCTGTTATTCCGGGAGGGTGTCCATGGATATCTTCTCGGAACCACGCTCCTCCCCTGTGCGGCCCCTGCAGCACGCATCTGGCCTGCTCTATAATCACTTTGAACACAGCTGATCACAGATCATGGTAAAGGACCAATCACAGTTGCCTTTTACCATGTGATCAGCTGTGTTCAATCACAGCTGATTACAATGCAAACACCCTTGCCAGTTATTGGCAAGTGCTTTACTTATGCACATGCTTGAGAAGAGGATAGCAAGTGTGACAGGGGACATGTACACAGTTAATCAGGGCACTGATTATCAGTTCAGCCCCATCAGTGCTTATCAGTGTTGCCTATCAATGTCCATCAGTGCTGCCCATCAATGCCACTTTTCAGTGCCCATCAGTGCTGCCTATCAGTACCTGTCAGTGCCCATCAGTGCTGCCTATCAGTGCCACCTATCAGTGCCCATCAGTGCCACCTATCAGTACCTTTCAGTGCTGCCTATCAGTGTCCATTGGTGACACCTATCAGTGCCACATATCAGTGCCAATCAGTGCCGCCTATCAGTGCCCATCAGTGCAGTTTCATCAGCACACATCAGTGAAGGAGAAATATTACTAATTTGCTAAATTTTAAAACAGAAACTTTTTTCCAGGTTTCTGTCCTTTTTTTCATTTGTTTAGCAAAAAATAAAAACTCCAGTGGTGAATAAATACCACCAATAGAAAGCTCTATTTGTCTCAAAAGTAGTTGAATTGGTTAAAGGTTAAGAGTAACAAATACAGTCAACACACTTTTGGGGGAAAAGACCTCTCTTTTCTTCAGGGCTTAAGCAGTCAATGTTAAAGTAAAACTATCAGCAAAACATTTTTTTCTCATTTTGGGAAGACCAAGGGAGGGTTATAACCCCTGTCAGATTTATTTTCACCATCTGTGTCCCATTGTGGAGATTTCTTTTCACTTCCTGTCCCATAGCCAAACAGGAAGTGAAAAGAATTCCCTGCAAATTAAGGGAATCTCTTTGGGACCCCCAGGTCACCTGAACTAGCCAAATGGAAGATTTATCCTCTATCACATTTCTGGGGGCAACCCAATATTTGGGACTGTCTTTTACTTTCACTTTCAATGATAATGGTACGCAGGAGAAATAGAGAGGGCGAATCTCCTAACACGGGGGCACAGACAGCAATAAAAACTGAGAGGGGTTCTAGTCTATCTACACCCTATCCAAAACAAAAAAAAAAAAAGTTTTGCCTTTAGTTATACTTCAATAAAATCACAAAGGCAGCTGTCTTTAGTACTATCAGGGGATGCTAGTCTTCATCAATCCTTAACTCAGGACCCTTAGTGTATTCTGTTATGGTTTTATTGCCATTGACTGCCTTGAAAAAGGGGGATGCTTTTTCTCTCCCAAAATTTCTTGGCTGTATTGGATGCTCTTAGGGTCAGTTCACAATATGCCTGCACATGAATTGCACAGGAACTCATTGCATGTTCCTGTGTGATTCACACCACATGCAAAATGCTGTCTGTTTGCAATCTGAGGTGGGTGTTAATAAAAAGCTAACAACACCTCAAACATAGGTCGCAAATGCAGTGCATTTGTCCACACCTGCCCACAACGAATCACAAAGTACTTTTTTACCATGAGATCGGTTGCAGTACTTTTTAAAATGTAGTGCATGCACTACTTTTGGTGTGGTGCAATTTTAGCCCATTCAAAATGAATGGGCTGAAATTGCACCTCAGAGAACCGCATGAGAATTGCACAAGAAAGTACAGCATGTTCCTGTGCGATTCATGATCATTTATGGTGTGAACTGGCCCTTACCCCTGGTTCACATATCAGCGTTCCTGCGGGCCGCGTTTTGCATGGGCATGGGAGCCTATTCATTTGAATGGACTCCCATGCCCCGGGACATGCAGGGAAGAAGCCCCTGCACTTCTTCTCAAAATGCCGCCCGCACTGGAACCTCGGTTCCCAGTATGGTTGTGATTTCCAGTGTGGGCGGAGTGCCATTAGAATTAATGGCACCTGCCGAGGGTCCGTATTTTTCTGTGTAGGTGGTGCGGCTGCATGGATTTTTGTGCGGATCCACAGCGGCACCATCTGCACATATGTGAACTTAACCTTTACAACTTTCAAAAAAGTCCTTTACGTAAAATGAACTTTTGTACCAAGTGCTTCTCTGTACACATCCAAATTACTGCCATTTAAACTAACCTGTTTCTAAAGCAACACTGCCATTGTGAAAAAAAATGAAGCAGTACCACTCTGTAAAAGAATATTACTAAATGTATCTGTCTGGCGGGACTCTGATCTTTGCTATCCCGCAGAGCTAAAGTCACGGTGGATGTGTTAGATGTCATGTTCCCCAATGCACATGCTGTGGTTCCACCTGACAGCTGCTACATTACTTTTATATCCTGTAGTAATGCAGTGGTTAGTGGATTGAAGTACAGCATGTAGCAGGGAACACAGCATCCAACATACCCAGAAGTGTTGGATGTCAGCAGGGGCTGTAAATGTGTTAGAACTAAGTTTGAAGTTGTCACCTGTAGAGAGTATTAGTAATTTTTTTTTACAGGCTGTGCAACATTTTTTTTTACAGCAACAGTGTCACTTTAAAGTGAAATTCCAGTTTTACTGGGGGAAAAATATTTTCCTCAGGAGAACTATGTGTATTGAAGGTATTTTATCAAACATTATTACAGACCCGTACTTATTTCTACTATGGAAATAATAATGTGGGCCATACAAGATTTTTTTCTACTACTTAGGCTCCATGTACACGGGACGTTTGGAAAACACTTCTGAATGATGGAAACTGGCTGCTGGAAAATGTAGATTAACTTCTTGCCGACCGCGCATAGCCGAATGACGGCTTCACCGCGGCCGGCCAGTTCTGAGTGGACGTCATATGACGTCCTCCCAGAACGCGCTCTCCTGGGGGCGCGCACCCGGCGATCTCCGTGATCGCTGTGTCCTACGGACACAGCTGATCACGTGATGTGGTATCCCACCTGCCTTTTACCACGTGATCAGCGGTGTCCAATGACACGCTTTCACAGGGAAATGCAAGTGCCGGTTCTCGGCTGCACTTTCCTCACGCTGTCAGATCGTGAGGAAAGTACTGCCGAGAACCGGCAGTTGTCAGAGCGGGGATCGGCAACCGATCATCAGGGCACTGATGATCAGTGCCCTGTTGATCGGTGCCCAGCAGTGACACCCGCAAGTTCCGCCCAGCAGTGCGCCCACTAGCCCCGCCCACCGTTCCCAGCAGTGCCCCCACCTGTGCCCAGCAGTGCCCCCACCTGTGCCCAGCAGTGCCCCCACCTGTGCCACTCTGCAGTGCCACCTACCTGTGCCCAGAAGTGCCACCTACATGTGCCCCGCAGTGCCACCCACCTGTGCCCACCCACCAGTGCCACCCACCTGTGCCCACCAGTTGCCACCCACCTGTGCCCACCCACCAGTGCTGCCCACCAGTGCCACCCACCAGTGCAGCCCAGCAGTGCTGCCAGTCAGTGCCACCAGTCAGTGCCCATGGGTTTGTGCCAGTCAGTGCCGCCAGTCAGTGCCCAGAAGTGATGCCAGTCAGTGCCGTCTATCAGTACCCATCATCAGTGTCACCTATCAGTGCCGCCTATCAGTGCTGCATATCAGTGCCGCCTATCCGTGACCCCTAATTAGTGCTGTCTATCAGTGCCGCCTATCCGTGCCACCTCATTAGTACTGCCTATCAGTGCCCTTTAGTGCTGCCTATCAGTGCCCATCAGTGCCGCCTATCAGTGCCCATCATGCCGCCTCATCAACGCAAATCAGTGAAGGAGAAAAAATACCTGTTTGAAAAAATTTTATAAAAGAAACAAATAAACTTTTTTTTTTTTTCAAATTTTTTTGCACTTTTTTTTAATTTTATAGCGCAAAAAGTAAAGCGCCCAGTGGCGATTAAATACCACCAAAAGAAAGCTCTATTTGTGAGAAAAAAATGATCAAAATTTCATATGGGTACAATGTTGCATGACCGCGCAATTGTCAATCAAAGTGCGGCAGCGCTGAAAGCTGAAAATTGGCCTGGTAAGGAACTGGGGGGTATAAGTGCCTGGTAGGCAATGGTTAAAAAAACGTCTGTTTAGCCCCGTTTGAATACCGCGTTTATGTGCATTTTTGCCTTTTTTTAAAATAACCTCAGGAGACCTTCCAAAATGCCCAGAATGCACTGAAAAAGAGTAAAATATTAACTATTTCAGACATTTTGAGAGAAATAGAGAGAGCAGAAGCAGAGAGAGCAGTATGTGTTGAGATGACCTGTCTTTTCTGGTTGTATTCACTATGGATCCCATCATGAGCATAATGCAGCACGTTCTACCATTTTTTCCTTCACGCAAAATCTGGAACGGACTGCGCTGGAGTGCTAGGTCCATTTGAATAACACTTCTGATGATGAAAAAAGGCTCTGGACAGCATTTGGATATGGAACAGTTAAAAAACGCTTTTAAATGCAACCGCTTATAAACGCGGTTAGCCGCGTTTACAAACATTTGGCATTTGAAACGCTGATAAAATCTACTCCTGAACGCAAGTTTGGTGCATTAAAGAAATGACTGTAAACTCAACTGCCTGTAAACGACTATGTGTACATGGACACATAGGAAAACATTAGGGAGAGTTCAGGGGCTGCTGAAAAAAACGCAGAAAAGCTCCTGAACGTGAGTTTATCAGCTGCAGTGTACATGAGCCCTTATAATTAAGTGGGGGGGTCTGCTTTCACTATTACCACCTGATCAGGCTCTGTGTTGTAATAGAAAAACCAATACACAGCAGTTGTAAATTGAAGCAGGTGGATAGTCTGTTAAAAAACCTGAATGAAAGTAATGATATCATTGATGGATTATGGGCAGTTGTTTGCTCTGTACACTGATATAATCTTGTTTCTTCTCTTTTTTTGCAACTCATACATCTGCCGTAAATCAGAGGTATCTTTGAATAAATGTGTAGTGACGTATGACTAGTATTCAATGGTCCGCACTAATTTCTGAAATGATCAGAAAATAAGCACAGATAGTGGCAATTTGAAAACAGAATAATTTAGCATATAAAAGCAAAATATTACCAATGCAGAAGCATATCCTCTAAAAGCAAACAGCATGAGACAGTCATTCTTGCCTGAATAAGCATCAAGAGAGACACACAACAAGATTACATGTAAGTGCATTTGGTGTGTCAGCAAAGGCGAGTATACAAAGAAGGTAAAAAGGACCCAGACTAACTGAATTACATGCATATTATGTAAGAGAAAAAGCCGGGAACATTCATTCATTTTAACATGACAAATGGGCTCTTTATCTGAGATTTGCTCAGTTCAGTAGAAATTGATCAAATGCAATTAAATTGGGTCTTTTCTAAATGAGCTGCTTACTAGAAAAAAAATGCATTAGAAACAAGCCATGAACAAGAAAAAAGTACAAGTGCCAACATGAAGAATCATTTTACATCGAAGAGAAAGTGGTTTCCAGGTACATCCTTGTCAGACAAGAACATTTTACGCTTAAAGTGATATTAAAGGCTCAGTGTTTATTTAGCAA